TTAAATATATTAGAGGCTGTTTTGCAATTGAAAGGAAACTTTCCATGCCTTAGAAGTGATTACAAATGTAGACATGCCTGTTACATCAATGTATATATTATATCACTTTCAATTTTATGAGGTAATCTAATAATGCTAAAATATATTTATTCAAATACATTAAAAGCATATTAAAATCACGAGAAAATGTATCACATACATGATAAAAATATTATTCTAAAACTAATGTTTATATCAACCCATTTTTAACTGCTATATCTAATACAGGGTCGGGGGGAAGCCAGAGCCTACCCCAACAAGCATCAGCACTCTGCCACCCATACTAATGTTTACACAGTTTTAAAATCCAAAATGTTTTTCTTTACACAAAATAAAAATAATAATGCATATACATGTACAAGTACCAAAATCTCCTTCATTTTTCAAGACTGTTGTGTGACATATTAAAAGCTTAATAACCTTAATTTTACTTTAAAAAAATATGAAAACAGAATTCAGGTTTAGGTCTTCCATTCTGAAGTCAAATGGGCAAAGTGGGAATACAAATATATACTCTGTCATGCTCACCCAACACAAATACCCTCTTGAGTCAGACTGCATGGTTACAGGCTACATTCTCAAGGATGTGGCTAATGCAGTGAAAATCTGGCTCTCTTTCCACAACTAATTGCTACTGCAAAAGCCTTCCTGTGTTCTAAAATATTACACTGGACAGACGGGTCCTTTTTGAAGGAAAACATACTGAACAGAAATCATTTTCATGTGGTTAAAAAATACTGAACACAAAAAGGGCAATTGAGATAGATCTGATCAAAAAAGAGTTTTGCTCTATTTTTTTCAGTGTTGTTAAAGAGTTGCTTCTGAAAACAAAGAATGAGAAATAGAAAGGAATGAAGGGTCATAAATCATTCAAATGAATGTTGTATTCAGTAAGTCATGAATAAGGTGATCAAGGGGGTATGTGTTTGAGAAGGGGGGGATGAGGTAGTTTGGTTACCAGTTTGGAAAGGAAAATATATCTATTGAGTTGAAAGAAAATATTTGAGGGGAAAATAATTCAAAATATGTCTTCATTCTTTGATAGTGTGGTATTTAAGGAGCTGAAGACTGGGCTCAGGCCAAGATCCAGAAATTCTGCACAGTGTTCTGCACGTTTTCCAAACCCACTATGTTTTAGCAGGTTTGTTTTAGCTGCTGTGTTAGCTGCTTAGAAAGACAGATGAATGTGAGGTAATTGATCACGGTGGCACAAACCCCATCCTGATATCTTGTATAAACTTAAGATAATTTGACCATACTAAAACCAACAAATCCATCACTATCCCGATGTTCAGCCTTTTGGCTAAAATCAATGAGTGGTATAACTGCTTTTATTCTCCCTTGATGGTATTTTTTGTTTTAGCTTCCCGGACAGCTAGAGGCAACATACTCTAAGAAGTATTTTCAGAATCCTATGAAATACAAAGCCACATAATACTCTAAGGATTAACAGGCACAAGAAAAATGCATAATGCTTCTCATGGGATGCGTAACAAGGGAAATTAGATGAAACTACAGATAGTGTATACTGTTTTTAAAGCATTTCTTTAATGTACTCTAAGCTACAAATAAAAAAGCAAATGAAAGAGCATTTCCGCAGGTTGGTTTCAGATTTACAACATTCCAATACCACCGAGTTTCCTGTAGGAATGTTTGCTTGGTCTCACTTAAAGCTTTTTTCTCTTTAGTTCCAAAGTCACACTGAGGGGGCCCACGAAGCAAGATGCTAGTTTTTGAAAACCTCCGGCTGCAACTGGTGATTTTAACTGTGTTTCTAACTGTATCTGCACTCTCAGGTAATTACCTTTTTATTACACTATTTCATCAGATATATAGCAAACAAATAAAGTAATATGCAAACATCAAAGAGCAGTGAAAAACACAATAGTAGCTTTTGAAAAAATATGAGACTTCTAAAAAGATTTATTGGATTGTCACAGAGTAAGTCTTAGTCTTAGTCTCCTATTCCATTTTTTCCAGAACTCATTCCGGTTCAGTTTGGAGCAAGATCTGTATTGACTATTTTCCTTCCATTGTGGAAACAAATTGGAACCTAAGGAATTTGAAGAGCATTATATCTTACACCCTTACTAGAAAGACAGAAAGATGTGTAGTTCATGAGAAGAGAAAAATCTTTTATCATTTTAGTTCAGTCTAACATTCTACTGTACATGAATTCTTTATCATGGAATAAATGCTTTATAAGTAGATAATGGCACTCAGAAATTTAACTCAAAGCTAATGCAGGTGAAGATTAAATAGGTGTAATTATAAAATGTATTTTTGTATAATCTGTAATAGTTTCATTAGAAAAGCTAAATAAATGCATGTAAATTATAGCCATTCTTAATCCATATTAAGGATGAATTCCATATTTCTGTAAACCTGGAATGTTTATAGAAATTACATTTTACTTCTGTAATATTGTGTATTTATCTACAGTTGGGACAGATAGAGGTTGCCTTACACTATAATGCAACACATACAATGCAATACAGCACAATGTATTGCAAAATGTACTGAACATGAGACAGGAAACTAATAGTTCTTGCAGTGGTAAGGGGAATACAGAACATGTTCAGATTTATTTACTGTGGCTCTTTCAAAGACAGCTCAAATGCCTTTCACTCTCCAGACTCAAATCTGAACATTTTATAACACATTGGAGCCACTGCAGGAGACAGCTACAGAATGCAATTTTTCAGAGGCTTGTTTACAGTAAAGTTTCCAAAATAACATATGTGGATGTGGCGCATATTCAGTTATTTTCCAGCTTCCTGGACCTTGGTTCTCTGTCCACTGTTGATACCCAAGAACACTTGCTCCTGCTGTCTGGCTTCTTTATTCTTTCCCATTCAAGACTTTAAATTTGTATAGTCCAACTTAACCTTCTGCCTGCTTTACCTTCCTTAAACCTTTCAGTGCTTCAGAAAGGTATGATGGGCTTGAACTTTACAAAGACTTTTTATGTGTCCTACTCACCACAAAATTTTCCATTTCTAAATTGTTCTTTTCCTTTTTAGATTCTACAAATGAAAACAAACTGCAGAAGCTGTTTAAAAAAAGAGAAGGTATTTGGATTCTGAATGCTTACATTGATACAGTATTATTCTAGATTTAAAATCTTTATGGAACACTTACACTGGTGAATAATTCAAAATGAATGTTGAATTGTTGATCACTAGTTCGAATTTTTATAATCTGGCAATTCATTCCCTAAGGTATAGTTCAGTATATGTATGAATATTGGGAGAAATATTAAAAAAAAGGTAAACTCCACAGCAGAGCACAGTGACTCATCTCCCAGAGCTCGACCTGGTTATCACAGAATTGAAAGGATTGAGAGGACTTGGTTGAGACACTAGTCCATTCTAGACTTACTCAAGTGATGCTGATCCTCATTTCCATTTCCTTTTCCATGACACACTTCCTTTATTTTTAAAATATGTTAATAATATTATAATTAAAAATATATATTTAAGGTTTTTTTGTTCAGAAACAGAATGAATTATTGAAACCCAATTATAATTATGCAGCCCAGAAAGCACAGAAATGTTTCTGGTATAATTACCACACATACATTTGTACTTAATGCACAATAATTAATTAATACACACAGCTCTTCAGTTTAGAGAATGTTTAGAATATTACATAATTTAAGTAAATAATTCTATTGAAGTTGTTCTGTTGAAGGCAGGTATAATGAGAATTACTTAACAGAGCTGCAATGTGTGGCAAAATCATCGTCAATGCTGTTACGAATTCCAGTTTTTAACTGGGGGTAGCTAGCATTTTCCTTCCAGAATAAAACACCAAAAACAAAACTGGTATAAGACACTTCATAATTGGATTTTACAGTATAGTTACACCAATTATTGCTGTAGTACTTCAGAAATGTTCCCTGCTGAACAATGAAACAGCTAAGAAATAGCTATTAATAGCATAGTTTTTGAATGCTAACTGTGAACACTCTACCTGTTGCATTGATTTTCATTCCAAAATGTCAGAGGGAAGGGAAAAAAAGGAGCTCAATGTATACACCTCCACAAAACTCTGTTAGTACCAATCAAGAGACTTGCTTTTCAGCCACCCTCCTGGCAAGAGAGGCCAGCTCAGCTAAAGCAGGAAAGCTGCAGTGATGTATGCTGTAAGAATATTTAAAGGCCTCGGAGAGTCAAAAGAGTGTCTACTAATAATCAAGTAACTGGCTTCATCTATTTAATACAACCTTATACAGTGCAGAAAGCAAATCCTATATTAGCATAACTTTTCTCAGACCACATAAATTCCCAGAAGCTGAGCAAAAGTTTCCAGTAAATCTGACTTTGTAATTCACGTAATGTAACCCAGTCATGTTAACAGACACTGTTGTTTTAAGATCTGAATCATTGCTACAGTAGGACTTTTAACCAAGCATATGTTAAACGTTAACATGTATTTGGTTATACATTATGTTGTTGTTATCAATTTAATTATAAATGGTCTGATGTATATCAAGCATACTCCAGATTTTGAGAGTAATACAGGTATCTGCAGTTACCTGGCAAAAACCATGAAGGTATATTAGTCAAGAGTTAGCTTTTTTAATTTCAGTTTATTACTAATAGTTTTGTGGTCATTATCTCAGTTTACACAAAACAAACTAAGGCCAAAGTGCAACATCGGTTTATTTACTAACAGGTGACATCCTAGTGAAAGTACTGAATGAACATGCATTTTTATTTTCTGTTCATCTCGATTTCGCCCTTCAAAGCCAAGCCAGAACCCCTTGCGGTGTCACCATCTAAAGCAAAAGAGTTTCTGACTCCTCTGAAACGACCAAAGCGAAACCTATGGGATCGATCCCGGCCTGATGTTCAGCAATGGATTCAGCAGTTTATGTACATGGGCTTTGATGAAAGTGTAAGTGTTGAACCCAGCAGCATTCTGGAGATCCTTTTGATTTCAACACAGCAATGTCATGCTCGAAATAGATCTCTATCTGAAGTTATCAGTTAACTTCTGCTTCCTCCCAACTAAAATATATTTTATTTTAGTTGGGAGGATTTCACTGCAAAAAATTATTTTAAGCGCTGGCATGAAAAGGGTCAATCTGGTGAACAAGCCTTCAGCACTGGTTCAGCAATGCTAGCAAATGAATAGCCCAGTCTGAGGTTTGAAGAGTTTTTAGGATGAACCACAAGAATACTAACTCTCAGGTTTCCCGGTAAAAATATCCTGATATTATCTATATAATCTAAACTTTATAAACATATCTGGATATTATCTATTATTGTTTCAATTATTGCTGTGTTCATGTTGTCACCAAAAAAGCATACATGGCACACCTTTAACTATCGTCATACTAGTCCACGGCTCATAACACTTGGATTAAGTTGTTTAAAATGTCAATTCATTTTCAATTAAGGGTAACTTAAAAAAACAATTCTATGCATTAGAATCTATTATACAATATTGCTGGTATAGTGTTGCTGTCAAATTCTGTGGTAAAGGGTGCATGACACGGCTTACTGGACATTTCACGTCTAAGCTATCGAAAATGTAATTCCATCCAAAGCGAGTCTGTTGAGTTACTTTGGAAATCGCACAACAGGTGGTATAAACTGTACCTAATATGAACTTGTATTTAAACAGAGAGAAAAATCTGAACCCTGGTGGCCAGAGATGCATTATCTCAGTTGTCCACCATACTCCATTTTCAAACAGCCCATTAAATAGTTTGTGCTTGAAATACTTCAATCTTCTTTTTGTAATCTTCATAGTCTTCAGTATCTGAAAACCGTGAATTACTTTGACCCGGAACTTGAATATTGTGGAAAAAAAGCTTTAAATTATGTTTGAAATAACTATGTTGATTGTTTCTTACAGAAGCTTAATTTAAATATAATTAACAGTCTATACAGTACTATTGACAATAAATGTGTCTTTATATTCGGCAATATGTTAAATGAAAATGTTTTTTTTTCTGTTAGAGATTTGAAACAGATTTATCATATTGGATGGATCACTACAGACAACACGACTATTATGGATATCAACACCATTATGATGAGAATGCACCTATTGGACCACGTTACCCGAGTTCCTTCAGGCATGGAGCAAACGTTAACTATGATGACTATTAAATAGGCTCTCATTACGCTTACTCCCACTATGGCTCAGAATGTCCCCTGGTGAGAAACATAGAAATGCATGCCATTGTTATACCTTTGATACTTCTGCAAGCCCTCTTATTCAAAGTACCCAAAAAATGCAGTAAAATGTGTTACAGTATATTTCAGAATTGTGTTTGTATTTGTTTTAATTAAAAAATAAACAGTGTATTCTGAAATTCAGAGATGTTTTTTCTACACAATTTTTCAAACCTTTAGCAGAAACAAAGAAATGGTAAATTATGAATCCAGGAATATCTAGTCCTCATAGAATTCTGAAAATGACAGTGCATACCCAGATATTTGGTCTAAAAAGTTACAAAAAAAAGTAAATGTCCTCATCAATATTTTATTAAAATAGTATATTCAATCACTTGTACTGTAGTTCAATATACAGCAAATTCTGTTCTGGAGCTCACAGAGTAACGTGTTCAGTACCAGTTTACTCATGAGTACAAAGGAACAATAAATCAGTTTTATGCTTTAAACCTACCTATAAAACATTTTTAAAGGTATTCAAAGATGGTCTTTGTTTTCAAAGTACATCTAAACAACCATCACCAACATTAAGGGTAACTGCAAGTGTTCCACATATCAATATCATTAGTTTATTTAAAGCCTCTGTATGCATAGGAAAGCCACATAGTTAAAAGCACTCTGTAGAAATTTTAAATAAACTCTGCTTTTACAGTTTCTTTGGGATTTCAATGTCAACCCCAGCAAGTATTTTTTAAAGGAAAAAAAATCACATCAAATGGAACACACAAGATAAACTTAAAAAGGACAGGTGACAAAGTGCAAGGCAAGGTTTGCAAATTTCTTTTCTTCTTTTTAGGCACATCTAACTTTGTATAGAAAGCTTGACTGGGGAGAAATTTCCAGCTTGCTTTTCACAAAACAGTAACGAAAGACAAGTCTTTTCAAGTTCGTGTTCTTTTAATGTTGAGCATCCAGAGTGCCCTTGCAAACTGCATAAGTAGATTTAACATTCCCTTTCAGGACTGGCTCTTTAGTTGTGCCTTGGCCTGCCTTTCTTCATCCGTGCAGGTTTGGGCTTGGGGATGTATTGGTTGTTTGCTTGATATTCCAGTTCTTTGCTGAAGTAGTGAATTGTTTTATTTAAACCTTCCTCCAAAGGCACCTGTTAAACATAAAAAAAATCTAAATTATTAGGATCACCAGCACAACTAAAGGCTCTATACAATAAAAATGTTTTCAAAGTTACTGATTAGAATCTTCAATGCTTATAAAATGTACTGGAACTTTAACATAAAAACAAATCTTACATAAATGTTTATACTGTACAAAAAAAAAACACAACGACATAATATATATTTGGATGATTTAATTAGTAAAATGCTCCCTTAGATTTACCCGTTGGTTAGTGGCTGAAATAACTTCTTCTAGATGTTTCCTTTGACTTTATCCAGTTTATCTGTCTCTTGGCCCAGCTTCTATGAATCTTGACCCATCTATTCTTAAAAAAATGCTTCAGGTTGGTCAGTGACATTTGAAGGTTTCCTTTTATGAAAATCTCAGATCAGTTCCTCTCATAATTCAGTTTAGGTCTAGACTTTTTTTTAGATTGCTTCTCTAGTCAATCTGTTGTAGATCTGCTTGTATGCTTAGGATCATTGTCTTGCTGCACGACCCACTTTTGGCTCAGTTGATGAATGGGTGGCATGACATTATTCTCCAGAATTTTCTGATAGAAAAGCAAATTCATAGCTCTGTCAATCATGGTCAGTCATCCCAGTCTTGAGGCAGCAAAGCAGATCCAAATCATCTTGCCCACATCATCATGCTTGACGGTCAGAATAAGGTTCTTCTGTAGGAAGAAAATGTTTGGTTTTTACCACACAAAACATTTCTTATTGTGGCCAAAACGTTAAACTTTTAACTTGTCTATCCAGAGAACATTCTTCAAAAAGTCTTCTGGATTGTCCAGGTGCTCTCTGTTGAAGTTGAGATGGTGGCAATTTGCTTTTTAGAGAGCCATGGTTCCTTCCTAGCTATCCTTACATGAAAACCATAAGCCACAGCAAGAAATGCCTGCTGATCCTTAGATGTTACTTTCAGGTTCCTTGCATCCTCCTGGGTGATTTTCTGGGCCACTCTTGGGGAGATCTTGGTATGATGACTGGATCTGTTTTAACATGGTTTAAATATCTTCCATATGTAGACAGTCTGACAGTGATTTGATGGAGACTCCAATGTTTAAAAATATTTTATAACCCTCTCCAGAGTGATAAACATTAGCTACTCTTTTTCTCAGATCTTCTGATATCTCTTTTTACCGTGGATTGTCACATTCCCACTATCCTGAATGGATGAAGACCAGATGCACAAGGTTTTTGACCATGTCAAATCTATACAGTATGTATGACAGGGCCACCTAAATTTGGTCCTTGTTTATTTGTTACCCAAATATTCAACCATTTGATTCAAATTATTCCCTAATTGCATAAACTAGGGGTTCACTTATTATTTCAAGTACATAGATTCCTCATTAGGCATTTTTCTCTACTTCATACTTCACTGAGTTCCAAAAAAAAAATTATAAACAGAAACCCTTTCAGTTATTTAAGAAAAAGTCTGGTTTTAATAAAAAATTGATAACATGGTAAGAAACTGTAATTTACATAATTCCATTGGGGGTTCACAAACTTTTTCTCAGCACTGCATGTTATAGACAAATCCAAATTTTAGGCACATTGTGAAAAACTACAGAAACCTTTACTCATAAACTTGTGAAAGCAAATGTGGAATATTGATAGTATAAAACATAATGGGAATGATACAGCATTGAAGACCATACCTGTCCAATCACAGTTTAACTTGTACTAACAGATCTTTCATTTAGGTGATACAAAAATTTGTATTTATCTCACTGTCAACATATTTATAATAAATATATATTGCCAAAATGAACAAATTGAATGGAGTTCTTTACCAAGCAACACATCTGGTACGCCTTAGTACCAGGAATTCAAAAAAAGTAACTTTAGTATAATAGAGCAGGCACATATTTTCTTTGTTAAGCCTTGATGATTATGGCAATTATGGGCTTTAAGATTGACAGAAAGTAAGGAAAACACACTGCTGCCTAATCATCTGTACTCACCACAGGCTCCCACCCCAACATCATCTTAGCTTTTCTGATGTCAGGCTTCCTTCTTTGTGGATCATCCTGTGCTTCAGGAAGAAATTGGATCTGACTCTTGCTATCTAAGGAACAGAACACAGTAATTCACTATAGTTCTAAACTCAAATCAATAGATTCTCGTCTCACATATATTATCACTACAATGCAGATAAACTATAACATTAGGAAGAATAAACATTGTTAACAGGAACAAAACATATCACTTTCTAACCTAAATAATAAAATCCACTTTTTAGAGAGAAAAATTAAATTAAGTTTATTATTGCAACATAACACCATTCAACCCCTAAGCATTTAGAAAGCAGGTGACAGCCCTGCATCAAAGCTGGCTTTTATCTAGTCTCAAGATGAACAACAAAAGGAAACAGTGTTTTGTTAATGAATCCCATTATCATTTTAGCATATACCATGTTGAGGAAGGAAGCTGCTGAACTGGTCTTATTAATGGACTGAGAAAGGTCTAAATAATTCTGTACAAAAAACAATTTGATATTCTATTATTTACTTTAGAGTAAATTATTTAAAAACTAAAAACCAAAATGATCTTAAGATAGGGAGGTCTCAAACAGAATTCATAATTTCATATCTACAAAATATATTTCAATGACAGAAAGTAAAGCTTCTCAAAGAACAAAGAAAATGACATGTAACATTTATAGTAGGTGATGTAAATGTTAGCAGTAGATGTAACATTTAGAAAATTTAGAAAAAAATGGGGTTAGCTCTATAACTGGAAAATTAAGGAGAGCTACTATTGAGAGAGATGAGGAATGTCTTTTAAAGATAGTACCTTGCAGGATCTCAAATCAATACAATGTTAACTAGATTAGTTAAACCATAGGCTTCATCACTTACCAACCAGGCTCTTGATTAATTTGGCAAACTCTAATATTGTGTGTTCTTCTGGATTCCCCTGTAAAGAAAATAATAAGAAATCAGTAAAAACCACAATATTTGAATTGGTTTTGCTGGTCTAGAGATGTACCAAGCTCACAGAAATACCCAACCTGTTACCTGGTTTACCTCCTATTGCGGGAATTGATGTAAACCGAGTATCACGAAAAAAGTGAGTTCCCAGGGCTTGATTTGTGCCATCAGGTTACCCTCAATCACTACAAGCAGAGTTCTGTAGCAGCCCGATATTCCTCAGATGATCACACTTGGAACTCCTCATTGATCTTGGTGAGGGTCATGACTAGTGTTCTCTAATATAAGGTCATGACCTAACACTGACAGGCTGATTGTAACTTCTTGCCCTATTAGAAACCGCTGGCCGTGAATGCTGATGTAGCTTTACCCATACCATGTCTATGACATGAAGGAGTTCTTCTCTTGAGACATACTGATCCTTTTTGTGTTTTTATATAATTTTTACTAGGATTGGTAAAACTGGTTAAATCACTCAAAAACTTTCCACTAAAGAGGTGACAGTGCTTTTGCAACAGTGAAAATCATGATCAATGAACCAAGATCTAAAAACATCCAGTCATAAATAGTTATGTTTATTTTTATGCTTAGTATACATGATAGTTCTTACAACTTACAAGTGTATACATTTCTATATTTTTAAAAAATCTCAAAGGTATATTTTTATTGGTCTCATTTCTGTGTCACACAGAACATTCTTCACCTGTGTGGAAAGAAAAGTTTCTACATGCAATAAGCATTTTTAAACTGAAACAATCAGTGAACGGTGATGTGATGATGTGAGGATGACATGTTCTTTTCTAGAGCTTTCAAAGTCTCCGGTTCTACTGCATAAGTCTGTTTTTGTGAGGCATTTACTTTCCACAGATTTATTCCACAGATGTCAGCAGTATTGTTGCTACTGAGGTGTTGGGCAAATAGGAGTACTATGGTATCCAAATGATTTACAATCTTACATATTTTACAGGTGATAAAGTAAACTAATTCTTTACACAATGTGCCAAATGCAAAGGTACTGTATTAATCCCTGCACACAGAGAGAGGGGCCCTAAATCACTGAGCCCCAATCACAATTCTTTTGCGTCTACATCTATAGGAGTTGTTTACCTACAGGACTAAAAAAACCTAGATATACAACCAGCATTTCTTCCTTATTAAAAATTGTGAGTTGTTTTAGGAACAATACATACCAAATTGACAGGACTGCTGATATTACTATTCATCAAGGCCACCAATCCATTTACCAGGTCACTGAAGCAAGAAAATACAAGTATTTTTAGAAAAATTCACTTAAAAAAACAAGAAAAATTATTAGAAATTTTATTTGTCAAAACTAGCTTTATAATGTACATATCTGTTTTTTTTTCAAAATTATTCCATAAAAATAACTAAATCACACCATACAATAACATTTTTCAATTATTTCTAAATGATTAAAAACACTTTTGTATGGGTAGATTTTTAAAAAATCTGATCATTTGTATTATTGCTCATAAATGTAATACAAATTGAATTCTCTGTAAATTCAAAAGTAAAGAACACACTATGAGGACACTGAGAGTCTTGTTCAGTGGTGACAGAAGTGTGTCACAGAGGATGTGCAAGGGAATCATATTTAAAATAAAACTGCTTCTTCCCCAACTGGAAAGCACATTTCTATCTATCATGCACACCCCTTCCTTATTAATACATTCCCATTCCCAAACACAAGTGAAAAAAAAGGTGTGTTGTGTAGTTTTCAATAAAATAAATCTACTTTTAACCAAGTTATTAAAATATGAATTGAATATTTTCATTAATAACAAAAAAGTATATTAAATGTATCTATAACACAATGTAAATACAGGCTGTTCAGAGAATTTGAAATAAGCAAAAAAGTATCTGACTATATAATATTCAGTAGTATCCACATATGTTTCCAATCATAATTTATACAATGAACCTTTGCATTGCAGGACACTAACAGCCCATTAAGGGAACATAGATGTTAAGCTGAAAAAGTATATACTAAACATAAATCACACTTCTTTCTGTAGCACTTTTAGTATTTTTAATGTTTTTATAATGTAATAGTGCTAATTTCTTTACATCAATTTAGTTTAAATAAGTTATATTGTTTTGCTTATGAAAAAAACACAAAAAGTATGTCTGAGGGGAAATTTGTTTTTGATTTTGTTTTGCGTTTTATTTATTATATTAATTTAATAAAAATCTGTTTCCAAAAATATATTTTTTAGCATGGAAATTATATACACAGTGATAGTATTGATATTGTCAGAATAGTATTGTATGAGCAATTTAAATAAGATTTTCCAAGTTTATATTTTTATCCTGTTTTTTTAATATATACTTATTCCATGTCTAATTACAACACCTTTCACGCCCAGAGTACTATACCCACAAATAAGGTTTCTTTCATAACTTGCCAAGCAGCACAGGAATATATTATGAACACAGAAATCTGTACACTATGTGCCTCACCAGATCTAAATAAATATTACTGAAAAAATTAAAATTTCAAAAACAAGGCCTGGAAACAAATCAAAGCATTTGCAGTATAAGCCTCAGTATTACAAGGAACAGAGAAAAACAGTTTATTAAATCTCACAGAGAAACAGAACCTGGTCAAGATAATTGTGGACTAACAGGTACAGCTGAATCTGTCCATTTACAGTGGTCTGAAGAAGTATTCACCAACCTTCAAAGCTTTTACATTTTAATTGCCTTCTGAGCGTACTTCGCAATACTATATATATATAAAATGTTATATATAAAAATCAACACAAACTATTCCAAATTTAGTATATTAAAATAAACAGAATACAATCAATCGAGTTTAACGCATAGGATTTTTCCCAGTTGCATAAGGAATCAAACTATTTGCTACTGTAGCCCTAAATCAGCACAGGTGCAAATAAATTTAATTTTTAATTTTACAAAAATGTAATATACAAGCTATTTTAATATAAAAGAAATGTTCAGGATAGCACATATATACAGTATATATAGAGATTGGTGACCAAGAAAATAATGAATAAAAAATGTTCTTGATTTTAGAGCAGCTAGCAATGTGTTTTATTATCAATAAATTATTTAGAAGGAAAATACATTTTGACACTCTACATGTACTAGCAAGGAAGTAACCCCCGTAACGAATATACTATTAAAGTTGAAAAGTATAACAAATGACATGTCTAGCTACTTTGTAGATCCAATTCATCTTCCCTTGTAAATAAATTTACTTAAAAGTACTGATAACTGGCATTAAACATTATAACATCGATTCTATTTAGGATAGCAGCCAATATCAAAAAGGTGATCCATTTCCTGTTTCTGCCTCTTCTTTTCTGTTCTTTTTCTAGAGCCTTGTAAAAGACCTTCAGACTGGAGTTAGAAAATTCGGTTAATTCATCTTAAGGTCCACTGACCCCAAAATGCTGTATACCCAGCCTCTCTCATCCCCTGTTTAGGATAGATATTCAGGTTTTCCCTGTTTACTACATACAGAGGATTACAAAGGATGAAAGAACGATTTATTTGTTTGACACCTCAGCCTTTGGTCAGGCCAAGGGACAAACGTCACTGGCAAATATTGAGGACATTGTAAAGTGTGAGAAAAATACCCACTCTTTCCATCATAATCTCTAGGACAAGGAAATGGCAGTATAACTAGACAACATTACATTGTGTTGTATAAGTGACCAATGGTCATAAAATTAACAAACGGTTGTGTATTTTCTTTTAATATATAGTGCTTAAAAAAAGGAGTATCAGTGAATTCCAGAAGGACTCACCACTGCAAATTCTCATGCATTATTACATCAATATGAGAAACAGATTTTCAAATGAAAATTTGCCTTTTTTCATTTGAATACATCTTTCTTCTGATATTGAGCTGTAGACAGTGGTAGTGTTTTTATCCACATTTTAAAAGTCATCAGGTTTACTTCAAAGGTGCTTTTAATTTTTAAATTATTCACTATGAACTAGGTGACTTCAAGATTGTTACAGTAAATGCATTTTTATTTCAGTCCTGAACCATTTTAAATCTACTTCCAAGTCTTTAACTTGAATGATTTACACTGTATTTATACAGATAATATTATTTTTCAGTTTCTCCCTTTTCATAGGGAAGCAAGTGGGAGTGGGTGGAGAACATGTGTGTTGTTAATTGAACTCGTATAAATACTCATATAAATAATTAGTTCTGAACAGTATACATTCCTGTCACTCACTGTTAATCCACAACTGGTCTCATTTATAAAAATTGAATATGCAATGATACAAAGATGCATATGAATCAAAGATTCTTTGTTAAAGAACAGTAAATATTCTGAGATATACTGTAGGTTTATAGGTTCTAAGATGATTCACAGCTGTAGAACTAATAGGGAATTTATTATTATAGTGCATGTGCACTTTCAACAGGTTTTCAGTATTGGAAAAACCTTGTGATGCACTCAATAAATAAGCAGTTCAGTTCAAGGACTCCTGTTATTTTATATGACTACTCATACACAATCCTCTGCTTTTTCAACATCCAATGCCACTGCCAATGAATCAGTCACCCAGACAACGAACAAGTGAAATAATGCTAAAATGTAGTCAAGGTCAAAACCTAAATCACACAACACCATTGTCTTTCTGAATATTTCATATAAAGTGTTTAATAAAGATCCACTTTTCTGTAAATTCATAAACTAGTGAATACTACCTTTATTTTTTAAGCATATTCCAATAGATGCTAATATATGTGCTTGCAATTTAAAAAAAAGAAAATTCTAAACAGCATTGCATTCTATATAAATGTTGCAATAAAAAGTTTAAAACATTAGAAATGAAATGAAGACATGTTACATTAAAATTGTACAATGCACTAGTGAGACCTCATTAAGAATACCGAATAAAATAAAGAAATCAGTTCAGTCTTGAACAGATGGGACTTGATTCAAGGATTCAAAATGATTTAAAATAAGAACATAAGAAAGTTTACAAATAAGAAGAGGTGTTTTGGCACCTCCAGACTATTTGATAGTTAATACAAAGGGTTGTGAGAATATGGAACAAGCTACCCAGCCATGTTGCTCAATCCAATACCAATATCCAATACTCCTTCAAGGAACAGCTTGATGAGTACTTTGGATCAGCTGGTTTGAAGACCCAGCTGTTTCTTGAAAGATGCAGGAGTCTCAGATTCAGCAACGTAGCTTTACAAATCATTGTATTTCCCTTTGTGTGCATAAGTGCGTCTTTTTCTCAGTTTTAAGTCCACTTTAATATTCTGTTGATAATATCATTTTCCTATATTATCATTCAAACATTTTTTATTAAATCAAATGTAATGCATGTGGGAAATTGTGAATTTATTTCTGACAACCATCATCTACTGCACTTGCTACTGTTAATCCGAGTTTTAAAAATTGTGTTCCTTCCATGTTCTCTTTTGATTTCTCTTGCTGAATGTCCATGAAATTGCAATTATGGAAGGTACTTAGACCTTCTGTAACTGACAATAATGAGGGAACCTTCACATCCTTTGTTCACATACTGTAATAACTACAGACAGGCATTATTGTACAACCTTTTCTTACGGTTACCTTACTTTCTCTAAAAACAAAATATTGAAATTTTAACAAAACAAAGCTGATAACCTAAACAAAATGTCAAAAATATCTTCAATACCTTAAATCAATGTTTATTTAGATCCATAATCGGAAAACCATTTTCAGTGTTCCCAGTAAAGTGCAGCAACCAGGAGCCTATCCCACAAGCATGGAACACGAGGTACAGTAGTATTTATTTTTTTTCAATAGTACATTAAGGAAATAAATATACGACCACAGAATAGACTATTATGAAAGCTGTAGTTTGATTTAATTTTAATCAGATTTCAATTCTGACAACAAAGGTTAACATCAACAATACTGTTACTACAAATAATAATGTGTAGAAATGTCCATACCATTACTATGTACACAAGGAGAAAACAGCTGCTGAAAGCAGTCAGTACAGAACTTGTACAGAAGTTGGAAAGCTTTGGATAAGGTCACTTTAAGGGTATACCTTACTCTTATGTTTACAACATGAATTAAACAACTTGCTAAAGGTAAATATTTATTTTCAAAGATTGTGACTTCAAATGGGCTATCATTGCTTTGATCTATACCTGCAGGGTAAACTGTTCATGTAATTACACGATGAAAATGATTCTCCTAGTAAGTGAAATATCAGATTTAAAAGACTAAGATCTATACTTCAGAGAAGACATCAATCAATACAGACAACAGACACACACCACAATATTTTCAAATTAACATTGAGATTTCTTTCTTTGAAATACCCTGAACTCAATTACTGAAAAATACAAATAATCCCATCAATGCAATGTCACAATCTTCCATTACATATGGAACTGCTTGTTGCATTAAAAGTTTATATTGGAAAAATAACAACACAGCTCTGCTTCCACTGATGGATACATTAGGTATACAAATATTTCTAATAAAATTTGCACATTTGTTTTTGTGGGCTTCTGACAGGAGCTCCAGTCTCACTGCACCAAGCAGTTTGGGATAAGTGGTGTCTAGAAAATGTTCCTATGCGTGTGTGTGTCTAGGGTGCAATCCCACCTTGTGCTCTGTGCTTCTGGCAGAGGCTCCTTTGACCCTTACCAGTAACATGCAGCTTTCTGAAAATGGTTGTATGTTTAAAATGATTAAATTCTCATTTTCTACACTTAATAAAATGATTAGCCTTGACCTTCAGATAATACAACTGTGACAAAACTGTGTATAGTGAAAGAGGCATAACACTGTTTTGAACAGATTTTATTATGAGAACAGAAGTCTGAGTGTACTCAAAATATACATGGAAAGATAAAACCTGTGTACCAATGTGAGTGGGGGGATGTCAACTTTATGACTGATCAGTAATTATCAAAGAAAACATAAGATAACAGAAATGAAGTACAGAGGGTACTAGAGTACCCTCTTTCAGCTAGAGTTCTGTCAGTTTCAATAGAATACACATTTATTTATATTCAACATCGTGGTATTGAGATTCTTAATTTCTCTATAATTATAATTATATCTTCCAATGTGTTGACTCAAAAAATGTAATTTTAATTAAGCTTTAAAAAAAAATCAGTGATACTGCTCAAAGGAAATACATTCTGCAGGTTGGTGAGAGTCTGGTAAAGCAAGACACAGTGACAGATATGAGTAGAGGCTGAGTTGTTCACATATTTTGACAGCTTTAAATTTAATAACCAAAATTCAGCCATTAAAAATATGTAAAATGCTTACTAGAAAGTAATTCATAAATCGGAACCATTCCTTCCATTTAATTCCATGAATATAAAAAACAAACCTTAATGTTCCTTCCTATTTACAGTATATACAGAAACAACAGATTGGTTCTTGATTAATTACAGAAATGTTTATTCCTGAAAATTTAAGAAGTATCCTGGGGTTTTAACTAGTGATTATAGAATTAAGTTCTTAATACATCTTATTACCAAAAACATTTGTAAAAAGTGGATTTATTTAAAGAATTAAGACATCTGCAGGATTAAAATGTCATTTTTACGGATAGCATCAATTCTTCTTGCTGTAGAAAACAATCCCTGAGGGCAGTCAGTCAGTATGCCAAACAAATGTGTTATTGTACAGAAATCCTTTGCTTATCAGCGGGAGCCATGTGTTTCAGTCTGAACATGTGAAGAGGAACAGGGAATTGTATGATACTGTTTGCATACCGCATCTTGACAAATTCTATGAAATAAATAATCTACCTTTCCATTTTGTGGCCTTTTCACATTACATTACAGTTCACCTAATGGATTATTATAGCAATACTGTTGCCTTTCCTTTTGAAATTATGATCTATAAAGAATGCATGGAGACACTGGAGATGCTGAAAATGGACTTCATTTTACTTCAGTGTAGTATTATATTTACATTTTTCTTTCTGAATTCTTTTTTAGGTCATATGTATAAAACCTATGTTTTCTTGGTTGAAACAGTGGTTAACTGAAAATTCCTTTTAGATTTTTAACCAATTCTCTTATAAAATATTGCCAGTGTTGAAAAGGTATCTATTCAATAGTATAGTAATGCTTTAGGAATGCTCACCTGACATACTGAAAGGCCCTTGTTTGAGATCCTGTGCCATAAACCTAAAAAAACAAATACAAATGTGGCTTTGAGGTTCAAATACAGCACTTACAAATCTTAACATCTGATTTAAACAAAAAATTCATAATCCAACATTTAAATTAACTCTGCAAATCATACTTAATCACCTTGAAGGTCAGCTTTTGCACAGCGTGTCATTATTTCATGGCTAAAAATATCTCGGTTGAAAATATAATGAATGTGTGCTTGTGATCAATTATGAAAAAAAAGATACATAATGCCACAGTTAAAAACTCTGAAACTTGTTTCCTGTACAGTAAAAAGGATTGCATACAGAATTTGTGAAACCTTTCAACAGCATGGCAGGTGTCTGACTCTAGATGAAAATACTCTTGCAAAATAAACTCCTGGTTGGGTCTAAACCAAAGACAGGGACAGAGCTTAGAAACATTAAAAACAATATTCATTAAGTACTCTTCCATTCCTTCCGTTAATTCCCCCTACAAAAGGACCTTTGTAAACATTCTTACAAAGGACATTTTTGCCACTATAGATCTATTATATATAGAGAGATTTTTATAAAGAACATTAAGAAGGCAGTGTTCTCATTTAATGCACATTTCCACAAGATTAATCTAAGTTCTTTAAAACTTAAAAAAATACATTAAATAAACCCTTTTGCTTTGCACCTGTACATTGATACGTACTGTAAGGGGCTCTCCCTGAAGTGCTTGCAGAATGAAGTTGCTCACCACGCGGCCATCATTCATGTGCATTCGAGAACCAAAAGTGTTAAATATTCTTGCAACCCGCACCTCCACTCCTTCCTATTGGTGAAAAAGGAAGGCAATACTAGTATTAGCAAACGTGTCCAACAAATCTCTGTACATGCTTAAAACAACTCTTAACATTTTAACGGGGCATATTTTCCTTACCAACTGTATTCCTTTTGTGTTTTTGGTCATTTATAAAAACTTTGTTGCATTGCAAAGGATGCTAAGCACTACACATATGGGTGGTACACTTATTGCACATCATACAGACTCTGCAACCCTGCATAGGAATCTACCAGGTCACCATTAAAAGTAACTGATTTTCAGAAGGAAGAATGTCACCCACTGTTCCATCAGAACCACATAAAGTCCGACTTTACTTTTCTCAGAGGACTCTCATCCCAGTACTGATCAGGCCCATCTTTGCTTAGCATCTGAGATCTGGTAAGATTACAATAGATGGTGGTGATGCTTCTGCTATGTTGAGCACCCACAGGCATCACAAGTCTCCCTTGAACTTGAACTTGAACTTTATTGCCATATGTAACCGGTACTGGTACAATGGAATTCTTACTAACAGAAAGTCTCTCGATTGTAAAACAAGTGTAACACAAACCGGACACTTTTAGATACAAAACAATGCCTGCTTTACTTGACAGCTTATTAAGACTACCTGTTGAGTGTCTCCCTCCATACATACATAATACTAATAACACTCGTCACATATCAGACAGCTTTTCTGTTAGAGTTTCAGAATGCCTTAGCTTCACGTAGACATCACATCTCTATACAAATCCCCAAAACAATATTCTCACTGTTTTCAAGCACATCTTTAACATCTAGTAATCTGTTTTTCCCAATTCCTATCAGTTACACCCTTATCAGACAAGCTGAACTGGTTCTCAAATGGAATATATTTTCTTTTAACAACCACTTCTACCATCATGTCAACAGTGCGGACACAGGTGCCAGAACTAGATCAAGTTATTCTAACAAGTATGTTGGATGAATGAAGCTACTTTACTGGCACCGTTTCTTGACATTACAGGTGAGAACTGCATTGAATTCCCAGATCAGTTCAAATTCCAACCATCCATCAAAATACACTTTTAATCGATCCACCACTCTTAATGAGGCCTTTAGATTTACAGTATGTTTTCTATTAACATCTGGGAGTAAATATTCAAAGCCCACTAAACCCACATCTGCAAATTAGCTCCTTTATGGCCCTTTCGATCCTAAACATACAGTATGAGCCACAATGAGATTCTAACACAAAGCACTCAAAATTTGGTCTTTTTCATTGATGAGCCCTCAACACACGTCTCAGCCAAAACATAATTTGAAACATCAAACTCCTAAGAAATAAACATGCACAGACCTGTATATGGCATGTTCTTACCTATAATACTGGCTATTCCAAAGGTCAGCAAACATTTTACGAGAATGAATGTTCCTGCAACTGATCTTATTTGTTGATTTTTGAATATAACCACCACTGCTTGCACTACAACTTCAATTTAAACTGTAACTTTGTAAGATGGATCCTAGACTTCTTAACAAACAGGTAATGGGTCAAATGGGGGAAATGACTATGTGGTATGTGGAGTACTCTTTGAAGTTTGATAACCAAAGCCTTTGTTTTCAAGACATTTATTTTAGGAAAAGTGCAACACCCCTCCAACATACTGTTGACTGTAGAAATTGCTCAGACTGTAGAAAATGTCAAAGACTACATGTACTTGGGACTGGTCATAGACAAAAACCTGGATGGGACACAAGTTGTTGTGCCGCTTATAAAAAAGGCCAATGCAGACCCTTTTTTCTTAGGAAACTCAGCAATATAAAGGTAAATAGAATTATTTTAACCTTTTTCTATAAGTTATTTATTGGAAGTGTCTAAACATATTGTCTCACATCAGTACTCTCAATTGTAATAAGTTGGAAAATTTAGTGAAAATATGAAGCAAAATAATTGGGTCAAATCAAATATACTTACTGTAATTACCCTCTACAAACAAAGGGCTGTAAAGAAGGCCAAGAGCATTATATGGAGTGAAAATCTTTCATCCCTGCTGGAATATCTCTTTCAAGCAACATAAAGTAACCCTGTAACACTATTACTGTATATCAGCTTCTTTGTTGGTAATGTCTGTCTTCATTATTTTATTGTTGTATTAGACTATGCCGCAAAATAAATTTCTTCCAGAGGATAACAAAGCTTAAATTAAAAAAATGAAAATGGGCTAATTATCATAAACATGTAAAAGTGTTCATATTTTGACAATTCAATACTCTTAAGTACTGAGTAACAATGGCTAATATTGGAAGATTTTTTTCACCACAGGAACAAGCTGTAAGCTTGCACACGAAAAAGCACTGGGAATTTAAAATTATATGTTATGTTTTATTTTATTTTGTATTATTAACATTTTAAAGGATTTTGTTACCTCTGTAAATCAAGGGATAAGTGCAAATTTATTTGAATTGGTCACCTACAGAAATGATTAATGATCATTAGTCATCATTATCACCCTTAAACTCTGTTTGAGGGACTGACAAGAATAGCATAACAGTTTCTGTGATAACAGATGAGAAGCTTGCCTGGTTTTAGCAGAGGTTTACTGTTTTTAAGTGGAAGACAAAATTGACAAAAGCAATACATATGTGCAGTAAAAAAACAGCAAAGTATTCCATTCTCAACTATTAATTTGCTCTTTGGTCGCTTCTATCTGTGGTACTGAAATTAAGCATGTTGGGTTTTCCATGTAGTTCTACAAAGAAATACAAACTTCTCTACCTCTCTTGAACCACTTGACTCTTTATATTTTTCTTTTTCAGTAACAGCTTATTACCAAAGATTGGTAGGGCCTTATTACTATTTTCAAGAATCTATTTTTGATCTATGGATGTCTGTTTCCAAACTATATGTGTGACACCTCTGGTTTAAGGAAATATGTTACAGCAACAAGAATCAAAGAACTTTCCATGCCAATAAGACATCCCTTTGTCCTCCCCTGACCATGAATACACTCACATTTTGTCTGTGTCCTTTCACACATATTCAAAGATTCCCATACTAGAATTAGTGGCCAAAATTATCATTACACTTGCTTCACAGATCCCTATTAGTACTCAGCGACCAGTTAGTCATATTTAAACTCTCCATTTACAGATTGCAACATTCTGTAGTTCCCTATGGAATGTTTTTCCCACATCTCCATCTTATTATCCACACTTTACCTACCCTCATACCTTTTCATCTTTATTTTCCCTATCCCTCATACCTCTCTTCTCCCTCTCTCCTCCACATACCAGGAAAAACGCTTCACAATATCAATTTTGGACTCTTTTTCACTTCTCAGAACGGAATTAACGTCTCTAAAATTGACTCTAAAATTATTTTGAGCATGCTCTGAGCATCATGATGTTCACATTTATCCCGTTACTAATCATGACCTCACCTCTTTAATAGTCTTTTAACTTTCACAGAACAACCAATTTTTTCTGAAGATAAGTCACTATTTTGCGATGAAAGAATGGCAATTGGTGCACATTTAATATCCTATTGTAAGTACCAATTTAAATCTCCTCAGAAGAACATAAAATTCAGATATTATGCAATCAAAGCTAAAAAATAGCACTTTATTACAGGAGAGCTATTATCTGATGCATTGATTGGAAAGTACTTTTAGAATACACCAGAAAAAGTTACCACTTATCTTTTTCCTCAGTCCCATATAAAAATGCCTTTTCTTTTTGATCAATACAAAGATAAATAACCATACTCTATTATGTGGAATAACTCTCTTAAGTGAAATTGCTCAATAAAGGAAAGTCTTGAAAATCTAGTAATGTAGTGTTGTTTTCAGAAACTACTTAAAAACAAAAAAATAACAGTACAACTTTTAACATGGAATACACTCATACCCCGGTATCCAAATCTAATTCGTTCTTGAAAATCTGTTCAGAAGGCGGGAGATTGAAAATCAAAAATAAAAATTCCATTATTTCTTATAGGGAAATTCCACCCTGCTCAAAAAAAACACTTTAAACATACAATACCATACAGACCATTATACCAAGCTTAGGGAACAATGCAGTTCTACACAAACAAGCTAACTATAGCTGTAAAATAATTAATGATATCATATTTACATTTTTCATTCTTTCGTAATAGTGCATAAATGTGCATATTGTTGTCAACTATTCTGCTAAAGAATCTTTTTCTCTTCCTTAGGGCC